TTAGTTGGCATTTTACAGACAGAGCTTATAATGTGACCCTTTAAACTATATAGTAATTTCCAGAGTAGTATCCTATTGGCGTAAACTCACTAGGGTAGGCAGGTTATATCTAGACTTTTTTTTTAAAAAAAACTGAAGCTAAGCTTACTAAGATGAGTGATTTTAATACAGAATTGTAAAGGTGATTAGCAGTGTTTTTAGTCTTATTAAAATATTACTATTTCATTAGAACAAGCTAAAATAATTATTTCTGAGTGTTTGCTTTGTACCAGGCCCTATGTCAAATACTTGACCCAAATAACTTTAATTCTCACAACAATCCAGTTAGGAAAGCACCGTTATCATACTTATTGTGTGGGTGAGGAGAGTGAGGTTAGGGGAAGTAAAATAGCTTGCCCAAGGTTACAGAGCTGTTAAGTAGAAAGGCTGAGATTTGCATTCTGACTCCAGAGCTCAAGGTCCTAATCACTGCAGTTTTCTGGATTAGTTGTTGTTGCTGTTGTTGTTAAGTGCCGTCGAGCCGTTTCCGACTCATAGCGACCCCGTGCACAGCAGAACGAAACACTGCCCGATCCTGTGCCAGCCCCACAATCCCTGCTATACTTGAGCCCATCATCGCAGCCACTGTGTCAATCCATCCCGTTGAAGGCCTCCCCCTCTTTCGTCGACCCTCCACCCTACCAAGCATGACATCCTTCTCCAGGGAATGGTCCCTTCTTACAACATGACCAAAATAGGTGAGACGAAGTCTGGCCATTTTCGCTTCCAAGGAGCATTCTGGCTGCACTTCCTCCAGGACAGATCTGTTAGTTCTTTTAGCAGTCCATGGTACTTTCAGCATTCTCCACCAGCACCACAACTCAAAAGCATCAACTCTTCTTATGAATAGCAAAGAAACACTTCTGGGTTAGAGTCAATATAATTTATAATTCTGGGTGAAGGCAAGTAGAACGGTGTTGGGTGCATACTCAACCACAACTCTCCCTTTTTCCTCTCAAACAGAACCACTATTTTTTTGGGGAGGGGGTGACTCATAATCAATTTAATGAACTGTAGCAATCCCATTTCCTTTTGCCAGTGATTGATCTGCAGGGGGTATGTGATGATTTTCTGGTCAATAAGGAAGATTTTACTAGGGTGAAGTTCTGGGAATGATTTCTCTTCCTCATAAAAATTGGAGCAGTACTCTCTTTCCCTCTCTTCCTGCTTGGGGCAATGACCTCTGAGAATGTGATGTCTGGAGTTGAGGAAGCCATGTTGCAACTAAGAGATGATAAGCCTGGTGAAAGAAAAACAATGCACATAAGAAGGCAAGGAGCAAACACAAAGAGCGTGGGTCCTTGAGACTACCTGTATATGGATTTTACATTAAAGATGTAAAAAATGTCCTCCTGCTTTATGCTACTGTTAGTTGGATATTCTGTTCCTTGCAGCCAGTGGTATTCCAATGAATACAGTCTAGGCAGGGAAAAGATGTGTGTCCAGAGTTGCAATGAAAATAGATTATGTGGAGGTTATCAAAATTTTGAGGATCCCTAATGGCACAGTGGTTAAGAGCTCCCCATGGAAATGTAAGCGGTTTGAACCCATGAGCGGTGCCACAGGAGAAAGATGAGGTAGTCTGCTTCTCTAAGGATTTACAGCCTTGGAAACCCTGTGGGGCAGTTCTATTCTGTTTGATAGGGTTGCAATGAGTCGGAATCTACCCGATGGCAATGGGTTTTTAATCAAGATTTTCCCCCAGAATCTATTTGCTAATGGAGGTTGTTGTCATTGTTGTTATGTGCTATTGAGTCGTCTCTGACTCATAGTGACCCCTACTTGGGTTTCCAAGGTGGTATCACTATGGAAGTAGATCGTCCAATCTTCCTTCCGAGGAGTGGTTGGTGGGTTTGAACCACCAACCTTCTGGTTAGCAGTCAAGTGCCTTAGGTACTACAGCACCAGAGCTAGTGGAGGTAGCAGTTCAAAATAAACAAGCAAAACCCAAAACTCCAAATTGACTCAGATAAAGGCAATCTGAATAATCTGCATGATGTCTGGGCTGGATCTTTCCTCCTTGTCCTTCCAGATGCAGTCCTATGTGAGACTGACTGATAAAGACTACATAAGAGTTCTCTTGCCCTCTGGCTTATGGTTGGATTTGGCCATTGGGAGATTGGAAGGAAGGTTGGGCAATCTACTTCTGTAATGATACGGCCTCAGAAACCCAAGAAGGGGTTGCTATGAGTAGAATCTGACTCAACAGCAGTGAGTTTTTGAGTGAGCAGTAGAATGGAGGAGGGAGGTGAATGAGATCTAAATTTCTCAGCTTCCTCCTCAGGTAATTACTTAGGCTGATTGCATCCCTTGACTAAAAGTCATATACTCATGCCAAGCAGCCCTCTCTGTATCTGAGTTTTGGTAACTGTTTCATCCTCTTGCCTCTACAGGTCTAGGAGCTTGTAGCCTCAGGGTTTCACACTTCTCTTGTGGTTTCCCATACCCTGTCCACATCTTTGTAAAGTGTCATTTGTTTCCTGTCAGGATCCTGACTGGTACAACTCAAACTCTAACTCACTGCCACCGAGCTGGATCCGACTCGTAGCGACCCCTCCTTGGGTTTCCGAGGCAGTATCACTACAGAAATAGATTGCCCAACCTTCCTTCCAAGGAGTGGCTGGTGGGTTTGAACCGCTAGCCTTCTGGTTAAGCAGTCAAATGCCTTCGGCACTACACCACCAGAGCTCCTGACTGATAAAACAGTGTGAATGAAATCACTGCAGCTGCTGAAACTTGGTCCAGTCTACCTGAGATTTGGCGAGATTTTGTCTAGCTATTCATAGTTTAAACACGGGATTTGCCCTACTGTTAAAAGGAAATAGGAATCTACATGAATATGTGCCATCCTGCAATGTGAAATGATGTATCATAGCTCAGAGAAACACTTTTCATTTGAGGATCAGATATCAGAAGGCAATATGTAAGAGACAGCATTTGCATTGAGGACAGATAGAGGAGCTCTGGTGGCATAGTGCCTAAGGCATTTGACTGCTAACTAGAAGGCTGGTGGTTCAAACTCACCAGCCACTCCTCAAAAGTAAGACTGTGCAATCTACTCAGAAACCCAAGGAGGAGTCTCTATGAGCCGAAATCAACTCGACTGAGGATAGACAGGATTTTTAAAAAAGATAGAGTGAAGGGCATTACAAAGAAGCCCAAAGACTGAGTCAAGTCAAAGAGGAGAAAAAGTTCAAGTGAGGTTTTGGGAAGATTAGTGATGCAAGATACAAGTTATTCAATGTTAGTTCTTCCACCTCCTTTACAGATGCATGAATCTGAGATTTGGCCAAGGTCAAAAGTATGCAAGTAGCATGACATGATTCCAGTCCAGGCTAGCTCCTAATCAACTCTTCACTCCCACCGCACTTCAGGCAGTTGATCTCTCCTACTACATTGTTATCTGAGAACAACTTCTCTGTTTGGGGTATTCTTATACCCCAGTATTTAGCACAATTTCTATCTGACACAAAGTCTTAGCCATTGTCATCCTCATCCTCTTATTAGCTATCAAATGTTAAGCATCTAATTGTGCCAGCCACTATGCAGATATTTTATATGTATATCATTTAATCTTCACAGCAACTTGGAGGGGTAGGTATAATTATCTCCATTACAGCAGTGAGTGGTTTGGTATTCAGTCGAGAATGCTGTGGCTCAGAGAGGTTTCCTAACTTGCCCGAGGTTACACAGCAGTTAAAGGCTGGACTCTATTTTATCAACGCGGAGCTCTGGTAGCGTAGTGCCTAAGGCACTGTACTGCTAACCAGAAGTACAACAACAACAACATTTTATCAACCAGACTCGGGAGTCTAGGCCTCTATGGCACAGAAATAACATCTGTTGAACGAATGAGTGAATAGGAATCTCTTTAGTAACCCCCTTGGAGGAGCCGCCACCTCGGAGCACTGACTCCACACGTCTCCTCCCTACCCCAGTACAACCCGGCTCCTCTTAGCGCCCCGCACTAGCTCCGAGGCTCCACCCTCAAACTCAGCCTGGCTAGCCAGCCACGCCTCTACCTCGGGGAGTTCAGTCTCTCTTCACATCCGAGTTTTCCCTGGGTTGTAGTAACCGGGCGGAGGGCCTCTCCCTGCCCAGCCACCACGAGTCCACTGCACTCCTCCGCCCCTCCTCTCCACCCATCCTTACTCTCCAAACTTCTTTTTTGAACCCTCACCAAACTTCAGTCATCCTAGTGCCCGCCTTTTCGACTCCGACTGGCCAATAGGTGGTCCTCATTCTCGGTGAGGTTCCGCCCCCTTCCCGCCGGGGGCCAATCCCAGGCGTTAAAGTCGAGTGCTAGGGCTTGTTCCCAAAGCGCTTAGCCTGTGACGGCAGCGCGCCAGGCGCCGCGCGGCGGGAGGGGGCGGGGTTCTGGATGAGGGATGGGCGAGGGCGGGGGGAAGGGAAGAGGGAGGAGGAGGAGGAGGAGGAGGTTGCGGCGGGTTTGAAAGCGGCAGTTTCCTGGCTGCTTGGGCAGGCGTTGGTCTCCGCGCTCCAGCTCCGCAGCGGCCACGATCGATCCAGCGACGCGTTTACGCGCGCTTCTGCGCGTCCCCGACGGATTTTTCACGTTCTGAGTCTTCCCCCTTCACCTCCCCGCCCCCCTGCCTCAGCCTTTCCCGCCGCTCGGGCGCGGAGCCGGGGGACCAGCCGTCGGCAGTGACCCCGCCCGAAACCCCTTCTGGAGCCGCTGGGGACAATTCCCTTTTCCTTTCTTCACCTTAATCCGGGGTGGCTCTCGCGGAGCCCGGGCAGCCCCGGGGAGCGCAGCCAGGAGGGGCGTCTCGGGGTTTGGAGCGGCCGGGTTCCCAGCGGGCTGTGGTCGGGGGGCCGGGCGGTGAGGCCCCCCCTCGCCGGGCTTCGCGGGCCGCCTGGGGTCCCCAGGCTGATAAGGGGCGGGAGCGGCGCCCCGGCCGCCCGCAAGGGGTCTCCCCCATGGTGCAGCTGGGTTCGGGATGTCGAAGACGCTGAAGAAGAAGAAACACTGGCTCAGCAAGGTGCAGGAGTGCTCTGTGTCCTGGGCCGGGCCCCAGGGCGACTTGGGCGCCGAGATCCGAGGCGGCGCAGAGCGCGGCGAGTTCCCCTACCTGGGGCGGCTTCGCGAGGAGCCAGGCGGGGGCACCTGCTGCGTCGTCTCGGGCAAGGCGCCCAGCCCCGGAGATGTGCTGCTTGAGGTGAACGGGACGCCTGTCAGCGGGCTTACCAATCGGGATACCCTGGCTGTCATCCGCCACTTCCGCGAGCCCATCCGTCTCAAGACTGTGAAACCAGGTACACCGGCCCTGTCTTTCTGTTGCGGGGTTAGGGGGTCGGGATGGGTTTCCTGGGAGCGGAGACATCGCCCAACCAGTTTACCGTCCCGGGTAATCTTAGACCTCTAGGGTGTGCCTGACTCCTTGGCTAGGGGAAGGGATGGCGGTGGTGATTCCCATTTTGCCGATAGGAAGACCGAGCTCTGCCTTGGCAGGTCTGCTCCGTAAGTTGTCACAGGATTAAGACCAGAAGATAGGTTTCTTAAATTTGTAGATCTGTCTTCCACCGCAGACAGACTAGAATAAGCCAGCCTTTTTCTGCTCTCCTTTGTGGAAAATGTCCTTACGGTTGTAGCGTTTTCTTTGGAACAGTCTTACGCATTTTCTAACATACTATTGAGACTCTTGGTCCCAAGGTTAACCACCTAGTCTTCCTGGGAGGGCTTAGTTGCATCAGTGCTTCTTGCACACCAGCAACATCTTGAACTGACGGTGTACCAGTCCAGGTGGTTCAGGTGGATGGATACAGATCTGTGATATGTGGCAGAATGGTGTGTTTTTGCTTGGAGCTGTTAAATAGAATCTGAGTTTTGAAGAAAACCTAGGTGTCTAGCTGAGTGGAAGCTATTGGAAATCCCTTGATTTTGCAGAATTTTGTTGAAGCGATGGGTAGAAAGAACCGCTGTTTCTCTGGTGTCTTTTATGCTAGTAAAATCTGCTGCAAAGCACGTTACTTTATGGCATACTTGCCAGTTTCAAAGCATTGATGAGGCTGCATACAATGAAATCTGTTAGTCTGTAGCCTCATGTATTTTGTTAGGCACACATGTTTGATTGTTTCGGCGTTGGTAGAGTGTGGTTCTATCTCGTGAGATGATTGTAGAGAGAATTGTAATTGTACTGTTATTAAAAATCACATTGTTTTTGCTGAATGTGCTGTACTTCATATACCGTGAATCAAAATATAATTGACTACTTAATTGTGACTTGTGCTAGAAATCAGTACATTCTTTCACCAAAAATGCTAGAAAAATCTGGAGAGGAGTTTAATACGTAGTCTTTCTCACTTTGTGTTTTTTTTTTTTCTTTTTCAGCAGCTCTCTACAAATCTCTTTAGTAATCCCTGAGCTTAATCAGGACTGATGGTTTGTGGTGCAATATACATATGTGTGTGTATTGTGGGTGTATGTACACACACACTCACATGGTCCTACAATCTTAAGATTTCTTACTATAGTCAATTCCATCATGTTCATTTTGTTTATGGGTTTATGTTTTTTAATTGTTAGTAAGTTTTAAAACTTTGGCAGGTTTTAAACATCCTTTTCTGTGCTATATGGTTTTGTGAATTCCAGAATTCTTTCTTAACTCAGATTTATAGAGATTTATGTGAAGTGTTGTGAAAAGACTTTGGGACTATAATTCAGCCAGTCAGGCACTGTCTGTAATATGCAAAATATTGTATATACAGCATTTAGTAGTCTAGGTGCCAATTAGTTAAAATCACATGAGTAAAGGAATAATGAGAACATCTGTATCATTGCCTTGTGTTTTGTTTTGATTAGTTGGGGGGTACTGATAAGGTTATAGCTGTTATTTTAAAAAATAGGTTTGAAGTTGATAGATGGAGGAAGAAGGTGATGTATTTTCAAATTATTGTGATTTTTTTTTTTAGAAAACTGAGGAGATGTGTCTTTAACATTAGGCTGGTCTGCATATTATACATTTTCTCAATCTTTATCTCACACTCAAGAAAATGATGTAAGAATTAGAGTGTGTTCAGTAATATTAACTATGTTGAACAGACATTTTATTCTCATAATGTAGTTTGACATTGTTATAGTAAAACAGATTTTGTTCTCTTGATAACCACAGATGCTATCCTACTTTAAAAGTTTAGTCAAAATAAAGGGAATAATTTATATTAATGGGTGCAGCACATTTTGTAATCATTAATAATAAAAGTTATGAATAGTACACTTATTTTTTTAAAGATACACTCCACTTCAATAATTTCTGAAGGTTATCACTATGCCTTGTCATCCAAGATTAATACTCTTGTTTATAAGCAAGTTGTAATTTAAAAATTTTAATTGCTTTTAAAAAAGTTGTATTCTTAGTTTCATAATATTCTCATGTTAGGTATTATTTTAAATGGCTTTCTTGAATGGTTTTGCTTAAAATTAGCATTTCTTATAAGATAGCAAGGCTTTTGCAGGTTAAACCGAAGACTTTAAATATTAGAATTTAAGACTTTGAAAAGATTATTCATAGAACTTAGTGAGTGATTAAAAACAGCATAAATATTATCCTCAGGGGAGACAAAGATTCTATACTATTGTGATTAATTTTGAAAAGGTTGAAAATATATTAATTTAAAAAGGAATTTGCCATGCACTTTGTTTCTTCCTTTTGTCTAAAATTTGTGAGATAAATGGATTTTTAAATTTAATAAGGTATTGTAAAGTGTACTTAGTATTCTGTCTCCTCTTAACTAATAACTGTATTAAACTGTATTTGTAACCTATCATTTAGAAACTAGCACAGTGTGAGAGTAAAATTAACTATTTCTGTACGTTGTAATCTTAGTGGGACGTAATCTCATATTGTCTCCTGACAATCCATGGAAGGATGAGCTGGACTCTAAGATATAGCTGCTGCATCAGGGATTCTTCCTAGCTTTTTCCTTTTCATATTTGTAGGTGCTAAGAGGAGCCCATTCAAAACCAGCACCATCAAACAGATGACTGAACGGAAGTATTTCTGGCAGTGACTGCCTTCAGCTTTGATTTAGAGTTTTATTGAGCTTTCCTTCTTTTTGCTGTAACCTTTAATGGGTAATTGAAAGTAACCCTTTATAAGGTTCCTAATCTGAGGCTTTTCTTGAGGGAGTTATGGAATTTCTTATTGCTTTAGTATTAATATAGTACTTAGTAGTCCATACTTTTCCTACTGTAAGAGAATTTTTTGTTCCACCTATTGCTTGACCTTACTAGTTAAAAAAAAACCTCACTGCCATCCAGTCGGATCTGACTCATAGAAACCCCTCCTTGGGTTTCTGAGGTGTATCACTATGGAAGGAGTTTGCCCCATCTTCCTTCTGAGGAGCAGCTGGTGGGTTTGAACTGCCAGCCTTCTGGTTAACAATCAAGTGCTTTAGGCACTACGTCACCAGATGAACCTAGCCTTTATTTGTCTGCATAGAGAAAAATTGTCTCTTGAATTTGAACTTTGTATTTTCCCAACAGTGAAGGAAGTTGTACTTTGGACCTCTGGTGAAATTATTTCATGATAGAGTCCTGTCATTAGAATTTGTTTCTTTGACTTTACTTCAGAGTGTATCCTTACATTATTTCTGTTCTGAATAATGATACAAGTAGCTTTGTTCTAAAATTCCCCCAACTATGCATGTGCAGTGTTTGATGGAATACGTAAATATTTGCTTCTTCATATACCTTTGAACACATATTTCATCGGTGGTAAATTATGTGAATTTTATTCCAGAGATTAAATATTGATACAGTCAGTACATGGAATCTGTCTTCTGCATTATTATGCACACACTGCATTCAACAACCCTAGGTCTTTTGCTGTATCTAGAGATGAAAGTCTCTAGACTTTTTTTTTAAACTGTGTTAACAGTTGTTTAAACAAAATCTACTTTAAAACAGATCTTGTGTAATGCTAATTAAATGTAGGTAAAATTCTTCACCATATACTCTTTGGTTCAGGTTCAGAGCCTGGCCTCTGTTAATTATCTAGTTTTGTTAAAATGGGCACACTCCTAGAAGTACATTGTTGGTAATGAAACATTGCTGGATGTAAGGAATGTGCCTTTCTTCTCTTAATTCTTGGATCTTTTGGTTGATTCTTTTGGTGTAGTAGATAATTTGGGACTTTTAGTGAATTTTTAATAGATGTAATGTTTGAAGAAGGAAAAGAGTGAGAGAAATTAGAGTTAATTGCTAGCCACCTGGATTTGTAATAAATTCCTTCTTACTTTTTTTTTTTTTTTCTTTTAAACCAATGGAAACTAGGGATTGGGTGGGTCAGCTCCTTTGTTAGAGAAGATAGCATCAATTTTTGATAAACCATAAATTTGATACTTTCCTGCTTTCTCAAAATTTGGTAGCTTTTTTTGTTGTTTTGGTCTGTTGCTCTTCATAATCAAGGATTCAGAGCCTGGCCTGTGTTTATTACCACCTGCAATTCTTATGAGTAATAGGTTTATAACATAGTTGCAAGGAGCCATGGTGGCTCAGTGGTTAAGTGCTTGGCTGCTGTCCAAAAGGTCAATGGTTTGAACCCACCAGCTGCTCCATGGGAGAAAATACCTGGTAATCTGCTCTGTTAAAGATTACAGTATAGGAAACCCAGTGGGACAGTTCTGGTCTATAGTATAGGCTTGCCGTGAGCTGGAATCGACTAGATGACACACCACTACCACCTTAGTGGCAGAAATCTTATTTACTTATATTTGGTGACCCTCACTATATCATTAACATCTTCATTTTTTTTTTTTTTTTAATTTTCCATCCATTATATTATAGAAGTACTATATCCACACCTTTCAACTATATTTAATTTTTTTCATTTTTCCAGTACATTATCCTGGTTATTTTATTGATTCTTTCCTCACTCCCAGACTCTTATAATTTGTAATTTATTCTGTAAAATATCTTTTCCAAGGGTGGTATAGATGCAGATAATATTCTTTAATTTCTCATTATCTTAGTGGTCCAAAGAAATACTTAAAATTCGGCGCTTTCAACTTTTGTTTTATTCAGTTTGTGCTAAAACTGATGTTCATTGAACATACTCTGCATTCCTGGGGAAATGATTTTTCCTCTGGAATCCTGGGATATACTTCTTATTATGACATGCAAAGTTTAGTAATTTTTTTTTTTTTAATCTGGTTTCTGATTTATCCAAAATGATGGCAAAATCTAAATTTGTTCAAATCTCTGATAGAAAGTCAGTGCATAATCTTTCCAGGTAAATAGTTTGATACAGCTTTTT